TTGATTTTAAAATGTCTGTTTAGTAAAATCTTTATACTAGATTCGCTTTAGGTGTGCTAAAAGACACTATCATATCCTAGTAAATGAGCAGTAGCAGTTGAGGAATAAGAACTTCAAAATATTTAGCAACACAGGATCACCATAAAATTTAGTAATTTGTGAAAAAGAATACATTAATCTTCAATATTTTGCAGCGTTCGTGGTTTGGCTAGATTTCATAATGTCATTTAATACTAGAAAAGAAATAAGATCCTTATTTTAAGAATATGATAATTAAAAAGCAAAATAAAAAATCACTAAAGGGAATTTAGCGTTTCCCATCTTTCTTATATCATTAAATCAATAAAGTAAATAAATAAATAAAAACGAATATGGGCATTAAAATTATTATTATCCCCAATTTAGATGTTCGGAACATAGGCTTTTGTCCACAGACTACATTGTGGGGAAAAATTAAGGGAGTTTTAATAAGCACTGAACCAGGCCAGTGTCGCTCACTTCTATATTTTTAGTCTACATCAAGGATTAGATCAAAAGAGCAGTATGTCACACATGCACATTGATCAAAATAAAAGGTGCAAACTAGTTTTGTTAAAAAAAATCGGTCGTAAATCAGAGAAAATTTAAACAGCACATATATAGAACATAGTATTTTGATGGTGTCTTACCTGAATAACTTAATATTACAAAAAGATAATTTAGTTTATTATAAAACCTTACCTTAGAAAGTTTCATGCTAGGATCTCAACCGAAGATTAAGAAATATGGTATCAAAAGAATTGATAATGAAGTATGATGGCAGCTTTCAGACATAATCATAGCAATTGGTTATTTGAGAAAATCATTCCCATTATCTTATATGCTAATAAGATAATGGCGAATAGATACCTGCAAAAATTACATAACCTAATCAGATTTAATTCAGGTAGATTAGACCTCTCTAATGCAAACAAACTGGAGGAAATCAACAATGATTGGGAAGATTGATAGCTGACTTGGAAATAGCTGTGACTTTAGATTTGATCAAAGCATCATTTAGCTGTATAGATGGCTTGACCTTGTTTTCACAACTGAGTCGTGTTTATAGGGAGACTTAGAACAGCGTACTTCGTACTGCGTAACCTGCCATGTATTCCCCAAGCATCGAACTAGGAATTGGTTACATCTGCAGATACTTTTCTGGCCTGGTAGCCGGTTTTGTCAGTAAGCGCTAAAGATGACGCTTCTCATCATTGATGTCAACTCTGATGTCGGCGAAATACTTGGGATGTACTAAGGGCCAGATACAACAATGGCAGAAGACCCACTATAAGATACGTTTTTCGGAGCCTTGTTAAAACGTAAAACTTAGAAATAATGCTTCAGCACGATTGTTTTATGTAAATATATTAATTTATATAATATAACTCGAAAGAAAAAAGTAGTTTCCTAAGAGACAAAATCGATTGAGAAGCTGCCTAAAAATCCATTTTTAAGAATTAAGAGTCATCAGTTAATGTGCGTTTTCATAACAGATAATGGTTGATCTGCCAGCGAAAATATAACGATAGGCTTTAATCCTGTGATGGCCGTATTTTCGGTCCCACTTGGGCCTAATTATAACCCCCAGGATGAGCATCATAAAAAATAAGCAGGCCAAAATCTTGACCAGATAACCAATTTGCTAATGAACTAAAGGTTAGACGTGTCGTTCAGAAAAAGAATGATTTTGTTTTATATCCGTTTTAGTTAATATTAACATACCAGTCCTGCTAGAGAGTCTTCAGAATGCCGTGACTGTAAGTGAGCACATTCTATCGACTTTTGAGTGAATAAAACGCGAGTGCCTTCAGTAACATTCAAAAGAGATGGAGCCTCTAGAGGACCTGACCTTAAAGGCCCCCATAAAGGAGGAAGACCAAGAGGTAATGAAGTACTTGTCTCCACATCTTGAACAAAGTTGGTTGTAGCAACGCCAACCGACTGCTGAGCAGCCTTCAGGCCACATCGAGCTGCCGTCACCGCCGAGGGCGCAGATAAAATATGCGGTTCTGTCTGTATTGAGTTGTCAGCCAGACAGGAAAGAGGAAGAGGATGCTGTGAGAATTGATGATTTTGGTGATGCTGGCAGTTCAGTTGACTATCCGGAAAATTATGGGATGAATCAGGCCGAGTAATAGTTGAGAACACAGATGGATGCAGTTGTTGCTGATCTTGAATCGGAGAAAGGTCGTGCTGAGGATGTTGGAGATGCTCCTGTTGTGATAATTCACTGTTGGATTGAATTTGATTATGCTGGCAAGAAGACATAGGAGACAAAGGGAAACCTGGATTGATAGAGGTCGAGTGCGCTGTACAAGGGTAACCGAGAGAACCAGCACCAATGTTCTGTGTCTCGAGAGGGCAATCGAGCACACCTGGCATACTAGTCGACATAAGGCAGGAAAACGTTTCATCTTCTTGTACACCGATATCTGACTGGCTAACAGCCATAGTGTCGATGCAGGCATCTTGTTTTGCATGCAAAAAGTTACCAAAAATTAAAATAAAATAAAATTCAGATTTTAAAAATAGGAATAACAATACAAGAGCATGAAACATCATTTTTCTCTTAAAAATTATTGAGTTCATAGAAGTTGTTTGACCTTGTTTCCGCAACTTGGTCAGATTGGTAGGAAGACTTTGTCCGGACC